AATAAAATTTAAACCACAAATTAATAATGTACATCTTTATAAGGCAAAAGAAATGGTCACTGGGGCCATAAAGTAATGTTTTAGGAAAGATTGGTAAAACAGCCAAATCTCTTGTAAGAAACATCAAGATAAAAGACAGAAGGTGCAAATAAAGAGTACAGGATTGGAAGAGGGACGTAACTACAGAGTAAATGATTTAAGAAATGTAAGAGAATACTATGCTTATCTTTTACCATATATTTTAAAACAAATACATTTTTTTAGAGGTTTAGATACAATTTTTAAGGAAAATATAAACTACCAAGTTGCTTTCAAAAAGAAACAACAAATCTGAATAGAAAAATAACTATAGAAGTTGACTTGGAAACAAACAAAAAAAAGAAATGGACTTGGTAAAAAAAAATATTTTTAAGAGCACATGGCCTAAACAGTTTGCAGGTGGGTTTACCACTCCTTCAAGGGATGAATAAGATCTGTTCCATGCAAATTCTTCCAGCAAGCAGAAAGAATAAAAGTTAATTTATGTATTTTGTGAAGCTGGCATGTAACCTTGATTTGAAAACTGAAAAAAGATAGTCCTAGAAAGGAAAATTCCTCACATTCAAAGAAAATGTAATAATTCTAAGATACCAGCAACCAAATCACACAGTATTTTAAAAAGATAACTTACCATATCCAAGTGGTTTAATCATAGAAACTCAAATTTAATACAATATCAAAAATCCAACCAATGTAATTTATCATTTTGACAGAAAATGTAGGAAAATTTCAAATAGATGCAGAAAAAGTATTTGATAACATTCAACACTCATTCATGATATAAACTCTACATAGACTGGGATCATAAGGAAATCTTAGTAATTTAATAAGGAGTATCTGCCACAGCTTTCAATAAACATAATACTGAATTGAAACTTCAGAAGCTTTACCCTTAGAGGAGAAGACAATGATCCCTTATCACCACTATTATTTACCAATTCGAGAAGACCCTAGCCTGGAGTTTATTAAGCAAGGTTGTAGCTCCTTGCCCCCAGGGACATTTGGAAATGGGTGGCATTTTTGTATGTAATAAGGAGTAGGTAGTGCTCCTGGCATTTAGCACATGGGATGGGGTTGGCGGAGGTAGGCTGTCATGAGTAGTAAACATCCTATCCTGCGTGGGGTAGTCCCACACAACAAATAATTGTTTACCTAATATGGCAATAACAGCACCCTGGTTGAGAAATACTGAGTCAATGCAGTAAAATAAAAGAAAAAAGTGAGGTATGAGGCTTAGAAGGAAGCAAAATACTGTATTTGCAGACAATGTGATCATTTAGAAAATGAAATAAATTATTAGAACTAAGAACTTGGGTTCAACCAGATATCTGATTATGAAATTAGTATACAAAGATCAGTAGCTTTCTTATATATGAGCAATACTAATTAGAAATATTATTGAAAAAGTCGTATTTGTAATAGCAACAAATAACAAAGTACCTGGGAAATCACCTAATAAAACTGTCTGCAAGGTATTTATGGGAAAAATACAAATTGTTCCTTAAACACAGAAACTTGATGTAAAGGGAGGCACACCATGTTTATAAAGATTCAAGCTTGAATAGATATTATTTCTCCTCAACATATATTTATAATTAAAGCAATTCTAATCCAAGTCTGTACTCTCAGCATAACTGTGCCTATGCAGATTAGCATCTCCTCTTCCTAGAAATTATGCAAAACAAGAACAATACAACTCCCACAAATTCCATTTTCACTGAAACTAAAAATAGACATATATAAAATAACATATGAAAACGTGTATGAATTAAAATGTATATATATGTATATATAAATCTGTGAACTACTAGGACTTGGTAGGACTGCAGAAAGCAGCTGAGATTAGGGAGAAACAATGTGGAAGGAAGTGAGGAGGCGACTGTGGGAAAGGGTCAGGAGACTCTCAGAAGGCTTGAGCAAAATTATACTTCCTGGAGGTAAATTTGTCAGTACCCAGAAAAATTTTAACTAATGGTATTTTATGATCCAGCTGTTAGACTCACAGATCCTTCTAAGTATCCTAGAGAAGTTCACATACGGGCATGGTGAGCCCAGTGCAAGACGTTGTTGCAGCATTATTATGTGTAATGAAAAAATTAGAAGCAATCTAATTGAAAAGATAGCTCAAATTGTTATGGAGTCCTACAATGGAAGGGATAATATTAGATTTCTTGTATGATTAGATCAAAACAAAGTTGAGTTACGAAGTAAATTGGAGAATGGTACCTATAGTAAAATATTGTGTATATAAATATTAAATAAAAACAATGTTTTGTTTTGTTTATGTATAGTTCATTTTCCCCCGGCTCTATTGAGATATAATTGACATGTGTAAGTTTAAGGTGTACCACGTGATTTGATGTATGTGTATGTTGCAAAATGATCATCCCAATAATGTTAACACATCCTTACCTCACATAGTGCTTTGTATGTGTGTGATAACTTTTAATATCTACTCTTTTAGCAACATTCAAGTGTACAGTACAGTATTGCTAACTATAGTCACCATGCTGTACATTAGATCCCCAGAACTTACTCATCTTGTAACTGGATGGTTGTACCCTTTGACCACTTTCACCCATTTCTCCCACTCCTTTGCCTCTGGCAACCACAAATCTATGCTCTTGCTATGAATTTGTTTTTTTTAGATTCCAGATATGAGATCATACAATATGTGTCTTTTTCAGTTTGACTTATTTTACTTAGCATAATGCACTAAAGTTTCATTCATATTGTCACAAATGACAGGATTTCCTTCCTTTTTTATGGCTGAATTGTATAAATATAGTTAAAGATCTATAGGTACAGCAATCTATCAAACACATTTTCTTTATCCATCTGTCAGTGGTCACTCAGGTTATTTCCATGTCTTGGCTATTGTAGATCCTGCTGCATTGAACATGGGAGTGCCGATACCTCTCTGAGATGGTGATTTCATTTCCTTCAGATAATATACCTAGAAATGGGATTTCTGGATCATATGGTAGCTCTATTTTTAATTTTTTTAGGAACTTCTTTATTTTTTCCATAGTGGTTGCACCAACTTACAATCCCACTAAGTAGGTTCCCTTCTCTCCACATCCTTACCGGTCCTTGTTACCTCTGGTCTTTTTTATAACAGCCATTTTAACAGGTGTGAGATATCTCAGTGTGGTTTTGATATGCAGGTCCCTGAGGATAAGTGATGTTGAGTACCTTTTCATGTACCTGTGGGCCATTTGTTTATCTTCTTTGGAATAATGTCTATTCAGATTCTTTACTCATTTTTAATTCCATTATTTGTTTTTTGCTATTGAGTGATAAGTGTTCCTAATTTAGGATATTAACCCCTTATCAGATATATGGTTTGCAAATATTTTCTCCCCCTCCATAGGATTGCCTTTCATTCTGTTGATAGTTTCCTTGGCTGTACAGAAGCTTTTTAGTTTGATGTAGTCTCATTTGCTTATTTTTGTTTTTGTTGCTTGTGCTTTTGGTGTCAGAATCAAAAGTCATTTTCAAGATCAATACCAAGGAGCTTTCATGTTTTCTTCTAGGAGCTTTACATTTAAGTCTGTAATCTATTAAAGTTAATTTTTATGAGTGGTATAAGGTAGAAGTCCAGTTTCATTCTTTTTAATGTGAATATCCACTTTTTCTAGCACCATTTATTGAAAAGACTATCTTTTCCCTTGAGTATTCTTGACTCCCTTGTCAAATATTAGTTGACTATATATGTATGACTTACTTCTGGGGTCTTGATTCTGTTCAATTGGTCTAGGTGTCTTTTAATGCCAGTACCATACTGTTTTGATTATTAGAGATTTGTAATATACTTTGCAATCAGCAAGTGTGAGGCCTCCAGCTTTATTCTTTCTCAAAATTGCTTTGGCTATTTGGGGTCTTTATAGTTCCATATGAATTTTAGGATTTTTTTTCTGTGAAAAATGCCATTGGAAACTTGATTGGGATTGCATTGAGTCTGTGGATACCTTTGAATAGTATTAACATTTTAACATTTAACATTAGTATTTAACATTCCAATCCATGAACATGGGTATTTTTCTATTTTTTTGTGTCTTCAATTTCTTTCATCAATGTCTTACAGTTTTCAGTGTACATATCTTTCACCCACACAGTTTAATTTATTCCTAAGTATTTTATTGTTATTGATGCTATTATAAATGGGATTGTTTTATTTCCTTTTTAGATAGTTCATTGTTCAGTGATATGCCACTGATTTTTGTATGTTGATTTTGTATCTGGAACTTTACTGAATTCATTTGTTAGTTCTAACAGTTATTTAATAGAGTTTTTAGGGTTTAATACATGTAAGACCATGTCATCTGCAAACAGAGGCAACTTTACTTCTTCCTTTCCAATTTGGTTGCCTTTTATTTCTTTTTTTGCCTCATTACTTTGGCTAGGACCTCCAGTACTATGGTGAATACAAGTGGTGAGAGTGGGCACCCTGGTAATGTTCCTGATCTTGGAGGAAAAGCTTTGAGCCTGATGTTAGCTGTGGACTTGCCTGTATGGTTCATTTTTGTTTCATGTTTGTTTTTATTATAGAGGAAGTATAGTGTAGTGCATAAGACCACAAGAGTCAGGTTGCCATGTTCAAATCTTGAATTCCGTCACTTAACCAGCTGTGACCTTCTGCAAGTTACTTTTATATTTCTTTGTATTTCAAACTATAGATTTGTCCAATGCAGGGCAATCCAGGGTGTGAATTATTCAGCAGTCACATAATACTCTTCAAATACTATCTAGCATCTTATGTGCAACTAAAATGTCTGCAGGCTGAATTATTAACAAGAGGCAGTGCAGGGCATAGATAACAAGCTGTGAGGCATCCAGGTGATGTTTCCTGATATCATTTCATCCTGTCATAAGGACAGGAACTGGAAGGGAATAAACTAAATAGTGGCAGGTACACGAGTTTGTCCGTTGTTTCTGAATTGTTTTGCTTTACCCTCCAGGTCGAGGTCTCCCTGCAGGACAAGTGGAGGTAGAGATGATAGAACGGGCCCGGGAGAAGCGCGCGTGGGAAGCCACACTTCCCTCTCCGCGTGACACCTCCCAGCTGGAGAAGAGGAGGAGGATGATGAATGCAATGGAGAGGAAGGAATGGGCCTTCAGAGAGCAGGAAATTGAAAAGTAGGTTCTAGATCGCCCAGACAACTGCTCCTACTCTGTTGGGAGTAATGTTAATACTTTTTACCTGTAAAACATTTTTCCAAATGTATGAATTTAAAAGCAGTCCTCAACCTGTAGAGATAGGAAATTGGGTTTCTGGTTCTTTCAGGAGTAATAGCTCTGTAATTTTATCTCCAATAATATAAAAACATATAATGCCCTCTTTGTGTGTGAGCTCAGCATGGAGCCCAGATTCGAACAATTCTTCAAGGCATCTCTCATTCTTCTCTTCACTTTTCTCTTTAGTATCTAATCTAGGCTGTCACAGAATCCCACTGATTCAAAATCCAAAAATGTCTTTCACACTGTCCCTTTCTGTTCAGTGGCATTATCCCTAAGGCCTTTGTCCTCTTCATATCCATCAAACAGCCTCCTGGCTGATCCTGTCTCTTATCCCCCTGGTGCTGAATTCACAGTCAGGACACCTTGAGTTTTAGCTACAGCTAATGGGGAATTTCCTATTTAAAAGAAAAGTTGCAGGATTCTTCAATAAAAAGATGAGCTCACAACACATAAATAACAATATGCTGAGCTACCTCTGGCTGAGTTTTCTTTTTTTTTAAATTAAAGTATTATTGATGTACAATCTTATGATGGTTTCACATAAACAGTACAGAGGTTTTCACATTCACCCATATTAACAAGACCTCACTCCCTCTATTGTGGTCACCATCAGTCAGCATAGTAAGATGTTATAGAGTCATTAATTGTCTTCTCCACACTCTATTGCCTTCCCTGTGACCTACCTATATTGTGATTTCAAATTATAGTGCCCCTTAATCCCCTTCTCCCTCCCTCCCACCCGCCCTCCCCTTTGGTAACCACTAGTCCCTTCTCAGCATCTATTGTTCCTTCTGTTTTGCTTTGTTTTTATACTCCACAAATGAGGGAGATCATTTAGTATTTGTCTTTCTCTGCCTGGCTTACTTCAGTGAGCTTAATACCCTCTAGTTCCATCCATGTTGTTGCAAATGATAAGATTTCTTTTCACAGCTGAATAATATTCCATTGTGTATATGTACCACCTCTTCTTTATCCACTCATCTACTGTTGGACACTTAGGTTGCTTCCAAATCTTGCCTATTGTAAATAGTGCTGTGATAAACAGAGGATTGCATGTGTCTGTTTGAATCAGGGATCTTGTTTTCTTTGGGTAAATTTCTAGGAGTGGACTTACTGGGTCAAATGGTACTTCTATTTTTAGGGTTTTGAGGAACCTCCATATTGCTTTCCACAATGGTTGAACTAATTTACATTCCCACCAGCAGTGTAGGAGGGTTCCCCTTTCTCCGCATCCTTACCAGCATTTGTTGTTTCTTGTCTTTTAGACAAGTTAGACAGTTAGAATGGATGTTGGCCATTCTAACTGGTCTGAGGTGATAGCTCATTGTGGTTTTAATTTGTATTTCCCTGATGATTAGCAATGTGGAGCATCTAAGTTTTCAGTAATTTTAACTGATGTATTTTCAGTAATGAGGTTGTTGCTGGAATATATAGAAATGATGAGAACCAAAAAATTATAACTCCTTAGCAAGAGAGAAAGGAAACTTGTTGAGGTTGTCCTTTGTTCCAGGCTGTGCTGAGGCAGTTTATTGCTCATAGCAATGCTACCAAGCTCCTGACAGTGTGCTCACACACAAGAGAGTTAGGGCTTAGTGTGGTTCTGAATTCAAAATATGTTTGTTCTTTTGCAACAGCTTCTGATTAACCCTGAATCCAGATTGTGTGATGTTTTAGTAAGAGTGTACAATTTAACAGCAAATAGTATTTGGGGCAAAGTAGGTAGCAGATACCTAGTCCTATCTGCAGAAATTTAAATTTATTGCTGTGATTTGAGGAGGTATATTCTTGTCAGAATAACATTAAAATACTAAAAATGTATCTGGCCAGAATGAAGACATCACCTGAGAAACTGAGTATTTTTGTTAAACTGAGGATAATTTTAATAAATATATTTTGAGTCCCTCCTATGTGATAACTAGGCTCTGTGCTATGAGTTGGGGAAACAGGGTTGACTAGGAAACCGCTGTGTCCTGACAGAGCTCCTAATGGCTCCTGGCAGGTGGGGAGGGAGGCTAAGTGGGGATTGAGGGGTGGGGGGCCAAAGACCTTCAGACCAACAATTCCCAGGCAGGCCCTATCAGGTGATGGGCTGCTTCTTACACAAAGTGCTGGGGGCACCCAGGGGAGAGAACAATTAGTTCCGTTTGAGGACCGTGGAGATTTGAGATACCACTGAGAGGAGGTAGCCTCTGAACTGAGCTTTGAAAGGTGAGTAAGAGGCCATCAGGTAGACAATGGTATCGGTGATGATGATTCCTAGAACATGGGACACACAGAATGCTTGCTATGTGCTGGACCCCAGTTCCCAGCCAGTAGTTCTCAGAGCTTAGCCCACAGACCAGCTGCATCAGTAGTGCCTGGGAACTTGTTAGCAGTGCAGATTCTCAGGCCCCCTCCCAGACCTACTGAGTCCCATGGGGCCCAGCAATCTGTGTCATAACAAACCCTCCAGACTACCTGATGCATGCTCAAGTTTGAAAACTAATATTCTAGCATGTTGTGGCTCACCACAACCTTATGGGATGGATACTATTGTTATATACATTTTGTGACTGAAGAAATTGAGGTAAGTGATGAAGTTGAGAATTGAACCTAGGATTTCTAACTGTAAAAAGTAAGGTGAATGTGGGTGTGTAGCTTAATTTTTAAAACACCTGCCTCTCCATATTCACCTGTCACTCCATTCCCACCCTGCCATGTGCATTTGCTCTGGGACACTCCCCCAGTGAGACATGCTTGTTCTCTCTAGTCCTTTTGAGTGGAACACTCAGCTCCCGCGGCTGAGGCCTCACTTTTTCCTTGTCAATGTGGCAAATCTCAATTCTCATTTATCTTCAAGACTACAGAGCTAAGGGCTCCCCTGAGGGAGCCCCCGCCTCCCCGCCTTCCCCCTGATCCACTGGGGCTAGCTTGAGACATAGGTGCTCTGTTGTTTCTTCTACAAAAGTCTTTTCATTCTGCTGGTCTGGTATTTGTCTCCCTGTGTTGTACATGGTAGTGTCCACGGCTGCTCCCAAGGACGGTGCTACCTGAGCAAAGGTGCTTTATCTTGTTCATCAGTGTTTGTTCCCTGCCTGGCATATGCTGAGCATTTAATAAATGTTTGACAAATGAGTGACTGAATAAATTACTGTATGAATTTTTAAGTAGGAGTAAAATATTTAAATCTCTATTTTAGGAAGGAAATCTTGACAGCTGTGTGGAACAAGGATTGGAAGGAGGAGAAATTAGACTAGCAACTAGAGTCCAGGTTAGGAGAGAGATGACAGGAGCTGGGGAATGAATGCAAGAAGTGTTTTAGAGGAGGATGCATTCAAGAAGGGGAGGAGGTATAGAGGAAGAGGAAGATTTCTGGGGGAACAAAATGAGTAGGTGTTTTTGAGGTTGTCTGGGGATAGCTGTAGGTTCAAATAGACAGAAATTCTGGTTCCGAAATACCTGAGCTGGAAGTACAGATTTTGAAGTTATCTGTACATGGTTGTATATGCATGCACAAGGTAGGCCTGGGAGAATGAGGTGCAGGTAATGAGAAGGGAAACAAAGATTGATTGAGTACCTGTGTGTGCCAGACACGGCATTTTCACCTTCACTCCTGAAGACAGCTTGCCACAACCTCACTTTTTCTTCACTGCTCCTATTACTTACCCTCCAGTCAACCTGGAACTTTGCCCAAACATCTTGTTGTTCACCCCGTCTGCCTAGAGAGCACTTTCTTTACCCTCCTACCTGGCACACTCTTCTTCATCCTTTAGAACTATACCCATGCATATTCCTGTGATATAGAGACTCACTATTGAGGTGCCTCTCCCAAGCCCCCAACTCATTTGTCACTTTTGCTAGATGGGTCTTTTGAGAGTACATGAATATACCAGCCTAAAAAGAATATCCTGTTTATGACAGGTGTTCCTTTTCTCTCTAGTAGAATGCCCTCTTGGAGATGCCATATACTTCTTTATGTTTTGTAATTTACTTGAAGACTGCAGGAGATTCGCCTAGAAGTTCTAAAAGAGCTGTTAAAGAAGCGTGACAAGAACCAAAATGCAGTGAACATGAAGCACTTGAATGCCCAATGGTCTAAACTGCAGGCAGCAAAGGAGGCCAAACTGGCAAAAATCCAGCACGCACATGCATCGGGTAACGACATAGGATGAACAACGAAGAGGATGGAAAGTGGGCTTTGCTTTGGTCCTTTGACCAAGATTGATTTAACTATGACATAATTCTATTTTGGTCCTAGTGTTATTAAATAGGTAAGGGATGGGAGATGAATTATTTTTCAAAATAGAGGAGCAGAGGAAAATTCCTCACCAAGAAAATCAAGTAATGATGTTCTAACAGGTAGTGAAGTTTTTGACTTTATGGGATATGTGCGTGTGTGTAGGTGCTGGGCTTCCCATATTCATGGGCTGAGGTCTTGAATAAAGAGCCCTGTTTCTCAACCTTTTTCTCATTATTGCCCCCTAAAAGAGACATTCAGATATCTTTATTTCTACTCCCCTCATTCCAATGCAATTTTAATACCGTGGATATACAGTATATCTGTTTATGTGCTGTAAGTATATCTGTACTTTATACATAAACAGAAGGATTCAGTGGAGGAGTAAGAATGACTGAGTATATTTTTAAAATTAATTTTATTTTAAATCAATTATAAACTAAGTTTTAAAATAATTTTAAATTATACATTTTAATTTAACCTATTAACATGTGACTGTATTTGCTGATTAACTTTTAATATAATTTATTTACTTATAAAAATTGTAATGTGTAAACTATACATGCAAATTAGTAAATTATGTACCTAATAATAGAAATGTAATCGCATTTTAATTAAAAAATCATTCAAAATTATTTTTCTAGTAAAAGTAAACCAGTTACAAAAAATAAATTAATTCCTTAAAAGTTGCCTTTAGTGAACTTTTAACTTTTTATTGATGTGAGAAAATAACTTTTAACTAGCTGCTAGCTTTGCATTTAAATGTCAACATTTTTTCTTTTCAGTACTTAACATAATGAATGATGGGTTGACTGACTTTTATAGATAAATAATAAAATGTATTTACTTTTTTTCAACTAAAATTCTTTTTATTTAAAAAGAAAATAATTTAAAACTTAAAAGTGTGTTTCACTCTTTTTACTTAATTCTGAAACCCCAAGTTACACACAGAAGCACTGAGGACCAAACATAAGCAACATCCACAAGGCAGCAGCATCACACGCTGTCACCTCCGGCAGGATGACTTTGCAGTCTCATGATAAGATTTTACCCCCCTTGAGAGTGCACAGTGTAGAACCTTCCACATGCGATGGGTCTGTGACAGGCTGGAAGAAAAGGAGCAGGCAGAGGCAGGAAGCATGACTCCTTAGATGAGTAAGCTCCTTATGTGCCCAGCTGAGTCTTTTCCTTCTGCCTGCCAAGCAATTCTGGAAGCTATAAACTGGGATATATTCTGATTTATTCTGGTGTCAGCTAAAATGGACAGAGATGATTGAGGAATCTGTAGTCTTCCCTCTCTTTTAATTATTCTCCTAGGAGAGAGTAATTCCACTAGTCTTCATTTAACATGGATTTTTCAGTTACTCTTGAGTTTCTTTTGTTCATTTAACAAACTTTTATTGACTGACTCTTCACAGCCCCGTGCTTGTGGTGCAGTTATAAAAGATTTTCGAGACTGCCCATTGAGGACACTAGCTGCTTCAGCTTCTGTCACTCCTGCCTGTCTCATGACAGTCTGGGCTACACAGATGACAGATCTCTGTTTTTAGTGTTACAGTCTGGCTGCAGTGGGTGGTCATTGTGAAATGTGTTCAGTTTAGTAGCTTCCCTATGAATAAAACTAGAACTGGTTTACTGTTACTATTTGGATCATTCAGAACAATGTTTGGAGATAGTCATAGAAGTATGCTTTATTTTAGCAATCAGAAAACTTGAGAGAAAAGGGAAGAATGTAGAAGGGAAGTTGGAGAGAAGAAATATCATCAGGGATTATTCTGATTATGCGTCACAGGTCTATGGACCTCTATCTCGCCTTGGTCGCTTCCCAGACAATAACTCAGAGGACTTTGTTGTAAAAAACCATTATCTCAACACTTATGAAGGTAAGCAATTTACATAATTACAAGTCCAGCATACGAGGGTTATCTTAGAAATGTAAATTAATTATTAAAATATAGCATTAGATTAAAAGCTAAATAACAAAAATATTTGCAAGAAATAGCAATGAACATGTTTAATATTATGAATAATGTGAGTTCATACGAACCAAAAAAAAAGACTCCTGTAACTCAAATAAATAAATAGATACATTGTGCAACAATTTATCATGGAGTAAGGTCATTAGCAAGTAAATATTTAAATATGTTTAATGTCACTAATCATCAAAGGTAGGAAAAATAATAGAGAAAGCTTTTTACTAGGTTTATGAAGCAAACAAGAAGTATATAATGAAATCAGCCCTTTAAGGAGAAATGTCAGAAAACTAGTGGGCAAGGGCATGGATAACCAGGGGATAAATTCATGGAGAAAAATCCAAGAGAGGCTTATTTAAATTATTTAGCAATTTGAAGCATCACATGGTCAAGATCATAAGTCGATGGTCACACTGTTGAACTTGTAGCACTGGCTGACCATCTCCAGAGCAGATGATAAACTGGTGTACATCACTTTAAAGTGGTGGTGCCATGCATCATATGATCATTAATTTTTTGTTGATTATTGTGGAATTTATTATGTTTTTGTAGGACAATGTTTTCATTTTAGAATACAGTTATTATTTTATAGCCTGTGCCACCAGAAGCATGAGTTAGTTATACAGAAATTTGCTTTAGATTTCAGGGACAATTCACGTATATGAGATACACCTTACCAATAATTCTAAATTATTATTATTCTTGGTAAACAGCTACTAAAATGGACAATATGCTTTCAAAATGTTAAATTGAAGCACCATATTCTAAAAATATGTATTTCCTTCCTATAGGATTAGTTGAACTTGAGTCATCCCTCCCTGATTTTGTCACGCAACCCCGAATCAGACCTCTAAAGCCAAAAGTTACTACCACCAAAGCTGGTTTTCTAAAAAGGGGAGCAAGGTTGGACCATGAGTTGGCAGAGATTCATAAGGTATAATCCTTACCTGGAGAAGATGATTCTAAGTGGGAATTTTGCTGAGAAATACTACAGTCCAAAAATTGCACTTTGTCTTGGGCAGCAGCAATGTCTAGTAGTTCTCTACACACAAACCTACATTCTTTCTCTTCTCTAGACTTTTCTGGAGGTTGGCTGTTCTGTGCTGAACCAATGTGTTTTTTTCTCCCTCATTTCAAACTGTTGGAAAGCTCTTGAAGGTTATACTCCTCATTTGCAGAAATCATGTTATTTTCTAAAAGTGATTCTGACTTTGGATCTACATAATAAAGGTTGACCCACATTGAGTGTAGTAGGTTTTTAGTGTTAGGAATTACTGTTGGTTTTAATAGTACAGTAGGCCTCATGTTCTTTCTTTTGGACTTGTTACGAGGTCATTAAGAGAAAGGAGTCATGTTCAGCTGCTCTCTCATCTAGTTTAAAACTCAACTAAGTAAGAGAGCTTGGTGGTCATCCCCATGAACCAACTAACTAAACAGTGTCCACCAGCCAGGCTTTCCCTTTTGTTCACTGGACTACAGGTGTACAGACTTGGACACTTCAGAATTCCTGATTTATGATAATGGTGACCAGTCTTCAGTGTGCATCGGAATCACCGAGAAAACTTGTGAACACACACCGCCGAGCCCCACCCCCAGAGTCCCCCACTCAGCGGGTCTGGGCTATAGCTGAGTCTGCATTTGTTTTACAAAGTTCCCACGTGTTACTAATGCTGTGGGAACCACACTTTGGGACCCAGCTGCTTTATGACTCTCATCACTGGTCCATGCGTGTTGTTTATGTGGTTGGTTTTAGTAACAGGGTAAGAATCCATGGGAGCCACACTCAAGACAAAAATCAGGACCATGGTGATAATTTATGTTCATCTATGTGGTTCTTTCCCATCTCATCCCCGTCTCCATTTACCCATTTTGAACTCTATGTTCGTCATTCTCTTACTTTCTGTAACTTTCTTCTTTGTAGATACTCTTTATTAAGGTTGTAAGTTCCCTTCTATTCCTACTTTACTAAAGCTTTTAATCGTGTGTTTATGTTGAATTTTATAAAAAATGTTTTGTCTGTGTATGGTGAGATAATTATATATTTTTTCTTTTTAAAAATTATTGTTGTAGTAAAGAACATATATATTTAAAAAAAATTATTCTATCCTTGCATATCTGGGATGAACCTAACTTGGCCAAGCTATATTATCCTGTAGTATCTTACCAAATAATATGTTGTTCAGAATTTTGATTTTATATTCATAAATGAAATGGCCATATTCTTCTTTCTTATTTTGATCATATATGGCATTGATGTCAGAGTTATGCAGGTCTTCAGAAATGAAGAGGGGAGTATTCTATTCTGCTTTGGAAAGAGTTTAAATAAGTTTGAGATGATGTATTTATTCAGTTTGGTAAAATATTCATATAAAATTATCTGAGCGATGTTTTCTTCATGGGAAAAATTTTAACCACTCCATCAAATTCCTAATAATTTACAGACCTTTCCGCATTTTAGTAAATTGTATTTTTTCTTTACAAATTCCGTTTTGCCTAACTTCTTAAATTTTGGGGTATATAGTTTGTTGATAGTATTATTTTATGATCTTTTCAGTGTTCTATCTGTAATTATGTCCACAGTTTTCATGCATAATATTACTTATTTGTGCTTTAACTCTTTTTACTCAATCAATTTTACTGGAGGCTTGTTTATTCTCTTGGTAGTATTTTTCCCAACAATGAGCTTTTGACTTTGTTGATTTTCTCCATTATTTATTTTCAATTGCATTAATTCCCATTCATATGTATTATTTATTCAGTAGTTAACTTATCCTTAAGAATATCATAGCATCCCTTGAGAGATATAAGCACCCTGTTTTGGACTTTCCCAGCATAAGCTAGCAAACTGTCCTAGCAGAGCCACAGAGATTATTTCTGATTGATATTCAGATCTGTGGTCTAGATCTGGTAGTGGGAGAAAGTACAAAGGTAAGAAATGATGCTAGTTGGTGTTATTCCAGGCACTGTTGGATAAGAAAAATAAAGTTCTTGAACCAAAGAAAACTCTACGCTTTCTTCAAAGAAAGCCGATACCTCAACCTCGGCTTCCAACTCCAACCTTGGAAATGAGTTCCAATGTAAGTTTGAAATGAAATGAAATCTAAGTCAAATTCTTTTCAATAATAAAAACACAAAGAATAAAAAATCTTCTCGAGAAAAATAGACACCAAAAAGTCATCTATGTCAAATTTAAAAAGATCAAATGATGATCAGTTATCATAACTATCTTCCCACATGGGGAAATGGTTGATAGCAGCTGAACTCAGAGAGAAACAAAATGCCAGAGGCCTCAAGACAAGCTGGCTTCTGGGAAAGGACTGGCTCAGAGAGTCCACCTTCACCAGGGCTATACATCATCTTCATAGGTCCCCAAACTCAGTTTGGGCAAGGTGCCAGACTTGGTTAGGATTTAAAGGACTGACTCAGACTAAACAAACCCGCAAGAAACTGCTAGAGATGCCACACTGCAAATTTATTACTTTGCAGAGAGAATATAACTGTCTGGTAGATCAGGATACTCCTTTTGGCAGGTCAGCCCTTAATCTCCCAAGAGCAATTCTCAGAAGAAGCCAAATTGTACACAGAAGGTTGTTGTGCCTAGTCAGAGGGAGGAGAGTTGACAGGAGATCTCACTAGTGCCTCTGATGGGTCACCTTTGTGGAGGGCCCGGAATGCTCCCGCTGACTGGCCAGGATGTGTTATTGGACAACATCCCTTTTCTAGACTTTGTGCTGACCACTCTTCCATGTGTTCATGCCATTGATTTCTGTTGCTTTCTTGGCATTCAGAGGCACCTTAATTAGATTTGCAGACTGCCGTTTCTGCTTTTGACACAAAGTTATTTAAGGTGATTTTTGGCCATGACTAATCTTGTCTATTATATTCTCATTTTATCACTTAAGCTAAATTCTTGCATGGTTTAAAATCTTGTGAGAAGTGATTTTATCATAGGTAAGCTATATTCTTTATATACTCAGGGTCAAACATGAGAAAACTATTACAAAAGGGATGTTTATGGGCAATACTTGTTGCTTTAGGAAAGATTTTGCTGTAAAAGAGTACAGAAAAATGTAAATGGCTTAATTTGTAGGGATACTAAGACAGTAGGTGGATTTTTTTGCTTTTGCTTTGATTTTTTAATGATGCATTATTTGTGATGGAAAAATAGTAATGACTTTTAACAATACAGTAAGTAACATTGAAAATACTGCATGGTCAGTGAGGGTAGGGAACCATATTGTATTTCTCTTTAAATTTTCCTGGTGCCTAGCACAGTCTCTTTTGCTTGATTTAAGTCTTCAAAAAGATATTTAGTGCTGACTGCTACTGTTATCAAGCTGTTTGGTTCTCCCTTTGTTCTTTTAGGAAGAAGATATAGAAATGGCTGTGATCTACCTTCAAAAATTACTCCGGGGTAGAGTTGTTCAGAACATGGTGTGTAGGGTCCAACCATTGGCCCTGTGTTTCTCCTTCAGGATAGATTTATAGGATGTGTTTGTGCTTGGTTCCCTGGGGTGCATTCCCTCTTGAACCCTGCTGCCCTATGGAACTTTACTCTTGAATTACTTACCCATGCCCATCTGCTGCTGTAGTTTGCAGAGTTGAGTGGCAGTGTCAGGGAGAGAAAGGGCCTGCCTGCTGTTTGCCACAGTTATAACCAAAGCAGTGTGAGACTAATGTCTTCCTTAGAATTGCTAAATCCAGCAACTTTCTTACCTGAATTTTGACTGTGAAGGCATCACAAGCCCAGGAGATTCCCTGATTTTCCACAAAGTCATAATACAATCACATTTGTATACAACTAGCCATACCTGATTAACAAGTGAAATAGCTATATAATAATAGCTACAGTTTTGAACCCCTTTTATGTGCTCACATTTTATATGCTTTGCTCTCTATCATCTCTTTTTTCTTTTTTTCCCTATCAATTACCCCATTTGCAAGTAATGTTAAGTTTGAGTGAGATCAGGTTAACTGCTAGCAAATTCAACTCCTGATGGTGAAGCCTTGGCTCCCCCAACCCACACCCCCGTCTGCCCCCGCCCCCACCCGGGGCTGTAACTCTTAGGATTTTCAGTCTAGCTGAGTGAGTCCAGGGAAGCAGCATTACTCTTTCCTCTCCTTTCAGTATTTCCCCAGGAGAAATGCCACAGTTAAGTTCAGACAGCAGATTGTGTATTACAAACCAGGGGCAGATCTCCTGCAAAAGAAAACATGGCCATGAAAAATACTCTTCCCAGTCTTCTTGGGGAAGGAGCACAAGAGATGAGGAAACGGTTCTAGTTTCCTAACATGACCCTATTGTTGTCAGCTGGCTTCAAGACGCATTTTAAGAAATTGAGTAAACAACTGACTGATAATTAAGCTCTTTCTCTACCTGAGCAGCTGGAGGTGTAGGGCAGAGGGCTGAACTCTAGCTCTGTGGAACACACCTGCCCTGTTGTCCCACAGGCAGCCCAGAACCCACTGTTCACAAGTGCCTCACAGGTCGCTGCGTGCCAGACCTAGCGCCTGGCACAAGGGATCTTAATTTGCAAGTCTCTCTTTGATGTAATCTGATATAGATGTTTGAAGGGAAAGAAAAGCGACTGGAATTGATCCAGGAGCTGCGCACCAGCCACGCACTGCAAGAAGATGACAGGCTGGTGCAGAAAGCCGAGAAGCAGGCGATCCTGGCCTTACAGCGGCAGAGGGACTTGCATGAGCACAAGGTTCTCTCCTCTTCCTTCTTGTTATGTTTTCTCCCTTCATTTTTATTATTGTACAAGCAACATTACAATAACAGTATGTGAAACATTCCCCACAATCCCATCACTCTAACACAGCATTTTTAAAAGTTGAACATGGTGTGCCCTCCCTGAATTGAATATTTTCTGTATTTGAAAAAAAAGAAAGTAAAAGAAAAAACTCTCACATTTGGAAAAGGTTGTCCCTCCCAGTTTGTCTTAAATATTTGATGACTCTACTATATTTCAGTGGGAATTCAGCAGGAAGAGTAAATAATAAAAGCAAGAAGAAGAAAAAAGTGAGAAATGAGAATTATTTTATTTTATTTTATTTTATTTTTGAGAGGGCATCTCTTATATTTATTGATCAAATGGTTGTTAACAACAATAAAATTCTGTATAGGGGGGGTCAATGCTCAATGCACAACCATTAATCCATCTCAAGCCTAATTCTCGTCAGTCTCCAATCTTCTGAAGCACAACGAACAAGTTCTTACATGGTGAACGAATTCTTACATAGTGAATAAGTTCTTACATGGTGAACAGTACAAGGGCATTCATCACAGAAACTTTCGGTTTTGATCATGCATTATGAACTATAAACAATCAGGTCAAATATGAATATTCATTTGATTTTTATACTTGATTTATATGTGGAT